GTTCTTGTCATCTGTTGCAGCAAAAACAGGATTCTGCAGGAATAGATGCGTCCGCCATCTTAAGTGCCGGCCGGGCTATACATTGTTGGCAGAGCCCTATTTTGGTTATTAACCAGTTCTCCTTGGCGATGGCCTTGGCCTCTTAGTCGATGGACTCTCAGCATGTCCCAAGGTGGTTTAGAAGTATCCTTGAGACTTGTGCAGTTTCCAAAGGTACAGAGCAGTGCAAACAGAGACAACATGACATGGCGATGGATCTCCGCCGACCGAGCATGCATGCATCTCTCTTCCCGAGGCTGTTTACTCTTTAGTACTTAATTAATTTGTTTAATTAGTTGAGGTTTGTATATAATAATTACTTTGTTAGTTAGTTAATTTGGTATTAGTCTTTCGGTCCTCCGTCGAGAGAGGCATAACTGTGTAATAGCGTGCGTGTGTGTTGACGCATGTCTTCCAACCTCACGTCTTTCTCCTGTTACTTACCTGTTATGATGGTTAGTTTAAGGACAATTTCACTTTAGCATCCTTATGCTATGCATATTCGCATCATTCATCTGTATTGCTGCACCGGGCTCGCGCATCATACTAACTGCATTATATTCTCAATTCCAAGTTGAATACGTGCATCAAATTGTCGATCTCATATGCATATTTAGGATAGCTGAGCCTATTTTAATTACATGTTGCATGTGTCGCATAGCCATTGTTGACATGACTAGGATCATGCATGATTACTAACTAGTTTCTTATTTGGCTCGGAGTACACTGGTGAGTGTTTATGCTTGGGTTTAACATTAATTTTTTAGATAAAATTCTTTTGAATTTTTTCAATAAATTATTGTGGGAATTTAATTTAATTCTAAATTCAAATTTTGGTTCCTAAGTGATTTCCTAAAATTTGTACCTCTTACTTTATTTATTAAACTATTCAATTTGTTTAATATATATATATTCAATAGTTTAATATATATATATATATATTCAAAATAGTTTATTTAATAAAGTTCAACAGGTACTGTTCCACCAACGACCTTCAAATTATTTGAAAACTTGTGTTTGACCAACGGTTACTTTTTTCAAAAGTTTGAATAAATGTGTTCAAAAAACAAAACGGTCAACATCTGTTTTAAACAAGTTGCACCTATTCGGATCACTGTAGTTGTCTATAAATACAAATTTCTTTCCAACAGTCCGAGAGAATCCCCAAAAAATAGTTTGAAATATTTTTTGCTGTCCAGTTTGTTATATTTGGTGCATTGTTGCATTATTCTTCATTTTAGTATTAGAATAAAATTCAGAGAGTTAGAACACAGGTTTGGTTCGCCGAACAAATTGTTTAGAGAGTACTACTACAATTTGTAAAGATCATTGTATCCTGGGAGATAGACGCCACTCAACCGTAAGTACCGTAGCGGGGCGAATCTGTCTTAAGGACAAAGTGTCACACACTCGACTTGGTCTTAATTTTAATTCAGTTCGATAAATAAATCTGGTATGTTATTTATTTATTTTGTTTGAATTTATTTCAAGTTATTTTATTTACATAGAAGATTGTTCCAACACCAACAAAACTCTTAACTTCTCTTAAAATAAATAAACAAACTAAATGATGAGCTAATGCAATCATCAATATTCATTCTCTTTGAACTACCCATGAAAAGATTACTCGTTGCTGTAGATATCGTAGCATAGAGGACTTCAACCCATTTTTTTCTTCTCTATAAATTTTGTCATAAAAATAATGAGTTCCAACACTACCCAACCAAACACCACCAATTTAACATACTGCTCACAAAATCTAAACTAAACTAAAACAATTATTAATATAAATAAAAAGGAATTTGGGATAGAGCAAAAATCCCAACACTAATATTAAAAACCACAGGAAACAAACGTGAATGAAGGATTTACAGTTATTTAACATTTAAAATGTGTAAACCAATAAAAATAAGAATAAGCATGAGAAATGAATAGAAGATGTTTCTTACCTAAAATAAAAAATAGTCCTTCCAACATCAATAGCATCACCTATTTACACCAACATAAGAGAAAACATAGCACAGTTTTAAAGAGATTAAAAAAATATACCCAAATACCATATAATAAACCCAAAAATAAATAAAATCTATAGAGAAGAAATAGATCAGAAGAAGCTTAAGAAATTAAGGGAGAACATTTCTTACCTGCACAAAATGAAAGTATTCCTTCCAACACCATGAATCAAATAATCACCCTTTCACTCACAAAATCATAAGAAAATTATAAACATAAGAAACATGAATCATAAAAAAATTATAAGAAAATTAGAAACATGAATCACATTTATTAATAAGATAATGAACCATGAATCACAATGGAATGAAAACCACCCACAGAATCACAATGGAAAAATTAACCACTACTTAATAATAAAATTTATGAACTAAAGTTAATTAGAGAAACCCCTATTACTTTAGTTGATAGTTAAAGTTAGAAACAGAAGCAACTTCATTTTTGTTTGATTTCCCTTATTTCTTGCCTTTTAATGTATTAGAAGCCCCTGAAACCCATTAAAGAGAAAACCATAAAACTCATTTCATAGAAAGAGACCCATTTCACAACTATTTCACAGAAATCATTAGGAATGCTTTTTGTGAAGAAGCATGATCATGCCTAACATTCATTAAGTGAAGAATATTAGGCATGAGAGCACTTAAATTACAAGTATTCACAAAGCATGAGGACCAAAGTCCAAAAAATAGAGTTCTCATGTCCAATACAATTTGACAGAGTGCTAATGACCAATATCCGAAATCAAAGATTGAAACCATTTGATAAAACCATTTCAGATTCAGAAAATAGAAATAGAAACTATCTAGGAAACCCATTTCAAAGAAATCACACCATTTCATAACTGAAATCAAATCAGTTCGAAACTATTTCACTCATAGAAACCCATTTCAGAAAATAGAGAGTGAAATGGAAGTTTCGTTACCTGTATGGAAATGGCGTGATGGTACTGATCCAATGGTCTGACGAGACAGAAATGGGGTAAGCTTGTAGAGATGTTTCATGTGAAGATGGTCTCTTCGACGCAATGATAGTGGTCCGTTAGCCTTTGGGTGTCATGAATCAGTAGTCCAGGCAATTCTTGTCGATGATATGTAATCCACCTTCGGAGCCATGGAGGACGGAGAAAGAGGTAGAGACCCAAAAATAAATAAATAAATAAAGGGATAAAACCCTATATAGTTCTCTCTGTATCCTCTTTTCTTGCATTTTCTTCTCCCTAGATTGTTGTTGTCTGTCATCATTGTTTCCAATGCACTCGCGTGCATGTGACTAGAAAGCACGGATACAGATATAAATATAGTGATACAGGGATATGGATGCGACGATACGTCAAAATTTAAAAAAAAAAATATGATACAGGTACGGCGGGATACATTCATAAAAAAAATATTTTTATAATTTTAATAATGTAATATGCATGAAAATAAAACTTAAAGTAAATTAATAAATAAAGAGAGGGATTTCTATTAATCTAAAAGTCTTCAAACATTCATAAAACATCTAAACTAAAAGCAAAAGCAAATGCAAATTAAACATCATCCTTACATGCCAACACCAAAAAAAAAAAATAAGAGCAGAGAGAAGAAACGTGAGAGAGTGAGAAAGCGAAAGAGAAGTGAGAGAGACAATAAGGATAAATCAATTTGACAAATTATATTACCTTAACTCTCACTATATTCCTCTTATCAAAGAACTAAACAAAATATTATAAGTAATATGTAACTTCGAGTATCCGATACTTTAAAATTAAGTGTGAGAAAGCGAGAGAGAAGTGAGAAAGACAATAAGGATAAATCAATTTGACAAATTATATTACTTTAACTCTCATTATATTCCTCTTATCAAAGAACTAAACAAAATATTATAAGTAATATGTAACTTCGAGTATCCGATACTTCAAAATTAAGTATCCGATACTTCAAAATTAATTAAGAAGTATCCGATACGTTTAAAAAGTATCTGATACATATCCGCAAGTATCTAAGGAGTATCGGTATCCAATAAATATCCGATACGGATACGTCTCCCTTTTTGAAGTATCCGTGCTTTATAGGCGTACCAAAAAGCAAGCGAGAGAGTATTTTTGAGTAAGAGAGAGGGAGAGAGAGGGAGAGAGAGAGAGAGAGGCCATTCCAGAGACCAAAGAGAAAGTGGTTTCAGATATGGCAGACTAAGAAAATTGAATTAAGGCTAATGAATCAAAAAGAGAGGCAAAGAGAATTGGAAAGAAAGAGTCATGTTATGATTCCAAAATATATATATATATATATATATGACACCTCATTAAAAAGTGACATAAAAAATATATATAATCACATTTAATTAGAAGGTGTGATTACAAAAATATATATATAATCACACTTAATGAAAAAGTGACATAAAAAATCATAACTTTAGCAACTTCTACAATGTGTACCGTCTAAAAGGGCATATGATATGCACTTATTGTGTGGTCCATATTGTGCCACGTCATAAAAAGTAACCTATTAAACAGGTCATTTAATAGGTTACATGAAATAATCATAACTGTTTTTAAAAATCATAACAATTACTACAATGAATCATAACAATGCCATAATATACACTATGGTGTCATAATAAAGACACTATCAATCATAACAATATGACAACGACTCATAACAAATGTAATTATTTCAACAAATTATCGTAACATTTGAGTCGTAACATTTTTTATTATGATTCACCATAACAAGTCATAACTTTTGGTAGTACAAATCATGACTTTTACTAATAAATCATAACCATAACACAAGCACAAACTCATAATAAGCTGACATAGTTTGTGCTTTATCAGCATGATTAAATGCAATAGGCAACATAGCATACTTTACAGATGCTAAGTCTGAAACACCATTAATATGAACAAACCCTAAACGAGTTCCACTAGAACCACCATGGGCAGCACCACTGACAGATATAGCTATCTTTTCTATGTATAACTTAACAGCTCCTTCAGTCGCTTCCGCTGAAAATAGGCGATCTACATCAAACACATCATTAGCAAACCGAACATCATCATGGATGATGAGAATTTCTTCACGAGAACTTTTAGTTCTTGAAACCATTGTATAAATAAAATATACATATATAATATTCAAGAACAAGAGCACCAAGAGAGGAGAAGGATGAAAATTAATGAGGAGTACGCCTTATATAGAGTGATAACAAAAGGTGTAAAAATTCATCCTTCTTATAGATCTCCAACGCGTGGCATAAATGCAACCAACGGCACGTGTTGGAGATTTGTAAGAAGGATGAATTAGCACTCCATTGTCTACTTCATTCTATAAAAGGAGTGCTCTCCCTTCATTATTTTTCATCCTTCTCTCTCTTGGTGCTCTCTCTCTCTCTCGTCCATCTTCAACATATATTATGGACAAGTGGGATATGTTTCCCTCTGATATTCAGTGGGAGATTAAGAAGAAATATTATTATGATTATGTGAAAGAGATGTTTGAAAGGAAGATTTCTTTATTGAATCAATTCAATAATACTGCTGAAGCAGATGGTATTGTCATTCATGGTGTTATGATAGAAATATGTAAGGCTCAAGTATTGCTTGAGCAGAAAGATATAACAGATTATTATTGATCGTTCTGATTTTATTGCGGAAGCACATGAATATGTTTACACTCATTGTTGGCATTTAGTTATGGCTCATCGCATTGCTTATGAGGATTACAGAGCTGCTCGCTCTATTGGAGATATTATACAAGGTCGATATTATGTATTTGATGGAGAAGATTGGCAGGTCGTTGAAGCTGCTCACGAAGTATTATACGAAGATGCTGTTACATTTTTTATAAAAAACAATGGAATCCATTGTTATGATTATGAAGCTGTTATTAAGATTGTTCTACCATGAGTTTTACTCGCATGCTTCGCATGCTTATGGTGTATCCCCTGTACTCACCTGTGGTGCTGGTGTATCCTCTGTACTCTCCTCCTCCTTGGAGGATTTTATTAATAAAATAATATATTATGATTACATCATCTCTTACATCATAATTACGTCATTTCTTAAAAGCTTGTTGTGGCATTTTATCAAACACATACAGGACACATGAATGTGCGCAGCAGCATCAACAACTAAAATACAAAAATTCAAAAATTAAGTTGCTATTGGAATGTTACAATTTGGCTGGTTTAAATGTGGGTTTTTGAATTTTAGTTGTTATTGGAATGTTACAAGGGGATTAAGTTCGTATCATCTCAACTTCCATTTGGAAGATTGTTGGGGCATGAGCGAAGGCGTTGGAATATGTCTCTTGGCTACTTAAGAGGAGAGAAATGGGAAGAAATAAAGAGAAAAAGATTTCTCTGAAAACCCATTTTTTTGAATCTCTCCAAAAAGGGAGTGATTGGGAGAGAAGAAATCAACTCATTACTAATATTTGATCATATCAATTGCCCATCTAAATATGGAAGAAATAAAAAAGAGTGATACCCATGTTGAAAACGACATAATAAACAAATCATCAGTTGAAGCAACCTGAAGGCCATGCTGAAAACAACCTTCTACAGAAAACTGACAATCCCAAGTAGAAAAAACTCAAAAGAAAAGATACCTAGCTTTATGGGACACCATGTTGAAGAAAACCAAAACCAAACCAAACCAAGCCAAGCCTTAAGTCCCATCAAATGGGGTCGGCTACATGAATCCTTCTCCTCCACGCGGCTCTATCAAAGGCCATTTCATTAGTTAAATTAAGTAGATTCATATCTCTATTTATAACGCTAGTCAACGTTAATCTAGGCCAACCCCGTCCCCTAACACTTCCATCTATCGTTACAGCATCACATCTCTTCACTACTGCCTCTGTTGGTCTCCGTTGAATATAACCAAACCATCTCAAACGATTCTCTCTCAACTTATCTTCTATCGGTACTACTCCTACCCATTCCTGAATACACTCATTCCTAATCCTGTCCTGTCTAGTCTTACCACACATCCACCTTAGCATCCTCATCTCAGCCACACTCATCTTATCTACATGTTTCTTGGTTGCCCAACACTCCGTCCCATACAACATAGCTGGTCTAATAGTCGTTCTATAAAACTTACCTTTTAGTCTAGTGGGTATTCATTTATCGCACAATACCCCAGACGCACTTCTCCACTTATATCATCCCGCCTTAATCCTATGGGCCACATCTGCATCAATCTCTCCCGCTGTTGTGATAATCGACCCTAAATAACGAAAATGCTCACTCTTAGGCAGTTCTTGGTTCTCAATCTTCACTTCTCCTCTGCTTTCATTGTTACTGTTACTAAATTTACACTCCATGTACTTTGTCTTAGTTCTGCTTATCCGAAATCCTTTAGATTCAAGAGCTTTTTTCCAAATCTCCAACTTTGTGTTAACTCCTTCTCCAGTCTCATCCACTAGCACAATATTGTCTGCAAAAAGCATACACCATGGCACGTCATCCTGAATATTTATCGTCAACTCGTCCATAACTAAAGCAAAAAGATAAGGACTTAAGGTAGATCCTTGGTGTAACCCTAAAGTGATAGGAAATTCATTTGTTTCTCCAGCTGGCGATCTAATAGTGGTCACCACCCCTTCATACATGTTCCTAATCACGCCAATGTAGCCTTTTGTCACCCCTTTCTTCTCTAACGCCCACCATATTATATCTCGGGGCACTCTGTCATATGCTTTCTCAAGGTCGATAAACACCATATGAATGTCTCTTTTCTTTTCTTTATACTTTTCTATTACTCTCCTCAAAAGATAGATCGCTTCCATTGTTGACCTACCAGGCATATACCTAAATTGATTCTCTGACACCTCTGTTATGTCTCGCAATCGGCGTTCCATCACCTTCTCCCACACTTTCATTATATGACACATTAGCTTAATTCCTCTATAGTTGTTACAATTCTGGACATCACCTTTATTCTTATAGATTGGCACCAAAATACTCTTCCTCCACTCATCTGGCATGTTCCTAGTCAACAAAATTTTGCTAAACCACCTAGTCAACCAAGCAACTCCTTTTTTACCCAAACACTTCCAAGCTTTAATAGGGATATCATCAGGTCCTAAAGCCTTATTTGATTTCATCTTCTTAAGTGCAATCTCCACTTCAAAGTTCCTAATCCTGCGATAGAACCTATAGTCTTGGTTTATCGTATTACTGATTATTTCTTCCCCTATTGTCGTACTTCCATGTTCCTCATTTAACAGTTTCTCAAAATAATTCTTCCATCTTTCCTTAATCTCATCATCCTTCACCAATACCTTAGAATCCTCACTCTTGATGCACTTTACTTGATTAAAATCTCTTGTTTTCCTCTCCCGTATCTTAGCAAGTTTGTATACCCTTTTCTCTCCCTCCTTACTATCTAGTCTAGTGTATAGGTCATCATAAACTTTCAACTTAGTGTCTCTCTCTACTTTCTTGACCTCCTTATTAGCCAATTTATAGCTCTTAAGGTTTTTCTCAATTCTATCCTTCTGCCACTTTTTAAAGCACTCTTTTTTTGCCTTAACTACCGTTTGGACCTCTTCCCTCCACCACCAAGTTTCCCTAGAGCTGGGTCCCGTTCCTTTCGACTCTCCAAGCACTTCCCTTGAGATTCTCATACAATTGACTATCGAATTCCACATAGTGTTAGCATCACCTTCTAAGTCCCAAGTACCATCCTTATCCATTCGATTCTTAAATATTTCCAGTTTATCCCCTTTTAAGGCCTATCATCTCGTCCTACGACGCCCACCATCCTTCCTAGCTTGGTATTGCCCTCTAAAACATAAATCTAGTACCAAAATCCTATGTTGAGAGACCAGACTCTCTCCAGGAATCACCTTACAATCATTGCATTTTAGGCAGTTCACTTTTCTCACTAAGAAATAATCTATTTGGCTCTTAACTAATCCACTCTTAAAGGTTATCAAATGCTCCTCCCTCTTCTTATACATAGTATTGGCCACCACCAAGTCAGAAGCCAACGCAAAATCTAAGATTCTCTCTCCAGCCTCATTTCTGTCACCAAAACCGTATCCACCATGCACCCTTTCATAACCTACTTTATCTATGCCCACATGGCCATTAAAATCTCCACCTATAACCAGGTTCTCTCCTACGGGTATCTCCTGTAAGATCTCATCCATTTGCTCCCAAAAATCCCTCTTAGTCTGATCATCTAACCCTACGTGAGGGGCGTAAGCGCTAATAATGTTCACTATATTCCCACCAATAACTAGTTTAACTAGCATAATCCTATCTCCTTTCCTAGTGACCGCCACCACACTTTCCACAAGACCCTTGGCAATTATGATTCCTACCCCATTCCTGCGTCTACCCTTACCACTATAATAAAGTTTAAAACCAGTATCCTCAATTTCCCTAGCTTTCTCTCCCGTCCACTTAGTTTCTTGTATGCAAGCTATACTAACTCTCCTCCTAATCATAACATCTACCAATTCTATCGTCCTACCAGTTAAGGTTCCTATGTTCCAAGTGGCTATCCTAAACCTATAGTCTTGGAATAGCTTCTTTACCCGCGCTCGTCCAGAAAAACGCGGAAACCTTTGCCCATTTTTCACCGCACCCAGGCGTCGATGCGGCGCCCCCTTGCTCACTTTTCGAAACACCCGGAGACAGGCGCAACGCGTCACTTGAGGGGAACGACCTAACATTTAAACAATTCAAAGTAGGATTCATTTTCATAAGGGATCTGAGCGGCTTTTTTACGTGTTGGCTGTCGGCTACCTAACACACAACCCTCCTCCTTAACTCGGGCTTGGGACCGGCGGGGTTGTTAACAACCCCGCCGGAGTTTGTTGAAGAAAACATCACAATAAATTTTGACTAAAAACAAAATTGTAATATAATTAACATATAATCTCAAGAGTGTGAATTCTCTGGATTTCATTTCGAATAAAGCTATCCTTCAAATTTTTATAGAATTTAAGCATACTTTTATGCAAAATTTCCATCCTATGGAAAAGAAATGTTTATATGGCATTCCTTATTTACACAGATTCCCAATCAAACACTAAATCAAAGCTGAAACTGAAATTTACAGCTTTCATAGACAGAACAAACTAATAACGCACTTAAAACTTACAATCTGGAGTTTAATGGTTTTCCATCCTGCTCAACTGTGTGGATTTTCTGCAGAAGAGAACATAAGAATAATTTACAACTTTACAATCTATGTTAAGGTAATCAGCAACCCAAACCAAGGGAAATAAAAAAGATTGCTTACGAAGTCAACTCCAATAGTGCTAATGTAACTTTCCAGATATGAATCATTCTGATTACAGAAATAATAAAAATGGTTAATGAACTTGGCATCTGTCTGGAGCCCACATTTGACTGGAGACCAGAAAACATTGAAAAATAACACAATCACATCAAAACAACATGGCTAATTAAAGCAATCTTGAAAAAGAAAGAAGGAACATAAATGGAGGGGGAAAAGAAGAAGAATAAGCTGTGTAAAAGAGGGAGAACTCATAGAAAACCTCAAAAGGAGACATGATTTGCCAACACCCGAATCTCCAATGAGCAAAAGCTTAAACAGGTAGTTGCTGCAAATAAAGGAGAAAGAGGAAAGAAAAAGAAAAAATAAAAATAAAAAAAGAGGTGGAAATAATGTTGGTATCATAATGTTGGAAAGTACACAGGAAGAGAAAATAGTTTCTTATAATTTGATTCATGCATTTAATGAGTTATGTTTGATTCATTGATTTATTAAATTTAAATTTTTCCTATTGTTATGTTCATATAGCTTTAATGGTAATCAAGATAACAGTTAATGTGATCACTTTATTTATTATTTTTTCTTATAAATATTTTTATTTTTATTTTATAGGTAACAGATGATCTATAAAAGAAAAGGAAATGGCCAAATACAATAATGGTTTCTTTCTAGGGCCAAAATAATAGTGGTGATTAAACAGTTCCTTTTTTGACAGGAAGGTTTGGTCATTGACCCATCGTTGAGAGCATCATACCAGCATCAACAATTCTACTTACCCCCAAAAAATATTCAATGTTGTTGTGGCCACACAATTTATCACAAAATTGGACACAACTTTTTTAAATTGAACATTTTTTGAAATTTATAGAATAATTCTAAGTCCACACAATTTTATCACAGAATTTGACACAACTTTTTTATATGAGATGTAACCATTAAATGTGCGAGTCCCACCTCCATATGAAAGAAGTTGTGTTTGATTATGTGATCGGATTATGTGCACGTAAAATAATTGATCAGAATGAGAACTCACCAGTAGGGTCCGCATTGACTAAACTATGAGCTGCAAAGAGACTTTTTGTCCAAGGAACGCATGAACATTATCAAGAGTGGAAGGATTGAAGTCATTGAAATCCAAAACATTATTTTGCTGTAAGTATGCCCAGGCCAAGTTCCCCAATAACCTGTTCTTCCAAAAATAGTCTTCACTTTAATGTTGAGGCATTTCAATCTGTTCTTCAATTCTACCAGATCTCTGTAATAAAATGAAAATGTATACTCAAAGATTTGTCTTGGTCACCAAGTAATTAAAGAGAGTATTCAAGATGTCAAACTATAACTATTAGGCTAAATGGGAAAGAGAACACAGAGGGGTAAAAAAAGTTTTTTTATTAGGATCATTGTAGAACTAAAACCCCTTACCATGAAGATTCAAGAAACTACTAAAATGTTATTTTAAATTCATCACGACAAAGTTCTCAAAAAAAGGCTTGAAATCCATTTGTAAACTATGAAATCTAAATTAGAACTAGTTCCTTGAATAAATAGTGCCAAATCATTTAATTTCCTATCCATTAAATCCAAACACAACTTATTCCAAATGCCACGAAAATCAAAAAGGCATTCTTTCCAAATGCTAGGAAAATCACACCAGTCATCCATACACAAAAGTTGCATTTCAAAATTCTCCTAATTGTTACCAACAAAATTCACATCAGATCAACAGCTATATCTATGGTGATAGAGAAGGTCAGATTTGAAGAAATGTGCGTACCTTGTAGAGTTCAACTACCACGTTGTCAAGAGATTCCTGAGATTCAAGGGAGCATAGATAGCGGAAAGATGGAAAATTGAGCTTTCATTTATCATTTTTAGAAAATATGCATAAAATTCAAACAATATCAATGCCCAGATCTTTAACCCACAATAGTACAATCAAGGTTTGGCTTAAAGCCATTCTCCTAGAAAACTGATCTTTAACCCACCATTTATTGATATATCATATAAAATTCACCAAATTTATGTTGGTTCAGAATGGGAAGAATTTATTAATCCACCTATGCATAAAACTTATTGCTTAAAGACAAAGGAAAGTATGGGAAGAACTTATTAATCCACTCATGCTATCATTAAGACAATGGATTGAAGTGAGAGAAACAAGTAGATATCAGCAAATATCAACAATCAATCTAATCTATTAATAGTTCTTCTCCCTCTTCCAAAATCCTATGAGCTTGTTTTCTAAATTTTTGATTTGACTATAAGAACAGCTGATGGCATTCATGAAGTACCATCAGCAATGTAATTTTTTTAAAGGGGTTTCAAAACCTCTTCACTGCAACAAGGATTGCCATGTCCAATTTTAGCAATCCATCACTAGCATTTGAACCCTTGAACTGAGGTGCATGGGGTCATACTCAAGAGCAACAGGCTCAAGGAGGGCTAGTATGGATTCGTATGTCCAAACTGCAATAAATAGGATTGTTCATTCAAATAGGAGTGTTGCTACCTACAGCCAATAATCCACCTACAAGCAAAATAAATAACAACAAATCAAATGAACAAAACAACCATGCAACTGTTAAACTTTATCTTTTTAGTAGATTGTTACCTTCATCTGCCACAGGTTCAACATGGTTTTCATTATCAATCACTGTAAAGGAGACATTCCCCAACCACAAAACTGCAGTGAGCATTTTAAATACACTTTCTTGATCCTCTTTGCTAACATGAACAATATCCAGAGCTTCCTGAAGAGTGAAAAAAGACACAATGACGTTCATATATAAATCAACCCCTATTTCTAAACTTGAAGGGGAAAGGGAAAAATAAGACTCTAAAAGCATTGATGGTTATAACTGTGTTCATAATAATAAGAACAAGAACAAGAACAAGAAAATACCATTACAATGCGAAACTGTTTATTCCGCTGTATATCCATACATATATGATTATATTATATGTGTATTATTTTCCTACAGAGGTAACCTATCCAGACCAACCCACTGAAGGTAGTTATTATTAAAACGGATTCTATTAGTTTTATAAATTGATAAATAATTTATTTTTTATTAATTCTTAGTTCTTTTCCATCCTAAACCAGAATAGATTCACCTTTGCTCATCCCAAACTTGACTCTATCCTACAATTAATAGAGCCCCACACAAGGGTCAGACGGGTCGCAGTTTTTGCCATCATAGGAAAGACACTTCTTTTTTCTTCTTTTAGAGGCATTTTCAAGTGCCAAACTGTAAACAATTTTAATTCCATAAATCTATTTATTATTATTTTCTAATGCCAACAACAACACGACTTTTATAAATGTGAAAGGAAAAAAAAAATGCATAAGAATTCTCACGTTCAACGGTGTATTCATACATACGTCCTTCAACTTGAATGAAGCCATTGTATTTACGGCAAAAAAAAATTTCTTGTCATCATAAAGTTAAATAAACTAACAATCCAAAAGTCAAAAGTAAATTTAAATAAAATCAAATAAAGAAAATGTGTGTACCACGAAGACCCATGAATGCTAAAGGGGCATGCAAATTGTAGAGAGACCATAAAGGAATTCCGGCTGGATTGAACTCGACATGTTGGAGATGAGAAAAACATTTCATAGCCACTTGACAAATCTCGAGCGGACTATAGAGATGAATAAGGCCATCGTCATTCAGACGATGAATAACTGATTTCGCTCTGGCTAAGAAGATGTTTGCTTTCGGGTGAGCAACCATGTCTTTAGTTATAGATAAAACAACAAAGTTCAAAATATAAAAAAAAAAAAATTGTCAAATGTAGAAAGTCTTTAGGGCAATTTGATTCACAATACTCTCATGCATAATACGTCTTAACGTGACATTTCTATACATAACATTTATCTAGATTGTTGTAACAAACAATATATCTACAAGTATTTATTTAAAATAATTTCAATTATAAAAAAAATAAAACTTCTTTAGGGCAATTTGATTCACAATACTCCTATGCACAAAATGTCTTATCGTGGCATTTCTATAAATAACATTTATCCAAATTGTTATAACAAACGATATATCTACAAGTAGCGAATAAAATTGAACTTAAAAAATAAAATGATATTCTTATACAAACTATATTCTTACAAAAATTTTATCAAAATAATATGTTGGTGGGATTTTGATAATTAAATATTGTTTTTATAGATGTTTTATTTTAAATTAATAAATGTTAATGTAGCCGCTTATTTTGTAGACAAATTATATATATTTTTTTTATATTCTTGATGTTTGTATTATTATTGTTACTCTATCCTGGGTAAGAATTTGAGAAATATATATTTATTAAAAATAATTAATAAATATCAATAATATCTTTCTATATAAAATAGTGAAAAAAAATAGCTAATATATAACCATCCCTTTTTTAACCCATTTCAAAACACTTTTAAGACTTGTACAGACAATAGTTTAATGTTTTTCCATTGAAAGATGGAATGAGAATTTGACAAACATGGCAAAATCAATTACAAACAAAAGTATCCATAGATAAGTTTTCAGATTTCAAGATGACCTGGACCCCAAAAAGTAGATAACAAATAGAGTTGAACAAACTCGGTTGTATGGATTGAAATCGAAGTTTTACACAAATGCATTTACAAAATAAAAAATAATAATAAATAGCAAAAAATGTACAGATGTTAGAACTTAAAACACACGAGCGCATCCAGAAGAATAGAATTAGTAAATATCGACCATAAATTAACTTGCTTTTTAATTTGAGAATATTGAATACACCCATAATTCCGAGTTTCATGTTACTCCTCTCAAGAGACAATTACATAGCTACATCTAAACTCTAGGAGAATTCCTACTTGAATTTGGACTCTAATTCACAAAGAATCTCCAATTAAAATTCACCAAGGGCATCCATTTACATAACCCAATATAAAATCATCGACAATCCGGAACCTTTCCTCTTCGCAACCATTTTAGGTTAAGAAGATGTGAAAGCGTGTTTATCTCTATAAAAATGGTGCGGATGCATATACATATAGTATACCAATGGGTTGCTAATGCATATGCATATAGTACCAGCGGTGGCCCTACAAACGCTTTACACCAAATCATTTCCATTTTGGGGTTAAGAAGATGTAAAATTGTGTTTATCTTTGATTTGAGTATGGAGTTGAATCATTTTTTTAATATGTTCTTTCAATGCAGGGGGGGAAGAAATATGCTATTTGAATAAAAAAAGACTAATGTAAGGTAATATTAAAAAGTAATATATAAAACCATCCCAAAGTTTACGTTAGCTATCAATATTAAAAAGTAATATATAAAATGTTTTTAACATATTTATATTGTTACAGAATTTACCCAAAAAATTGGATTTTACAGTCTTTTTGGATGGGGTGATTTGATGAGAAATGAATTTCTCTTAGCTACTAAAGAGGAGAGAAATGAAGAGAATTTTTTTATATATATATAAAAAAAAAAACCCCCATTTTTTGAATCTCTCCAAAAGTGGAGGGATTAGAAGAGAAAAGAAATTAGCTCATTACTAATATTTGATAATATCAATTGCCCATCTAAATATGGAAGAAATAAAAAAGAGTGATACCCATGTTGAAAACGACATAATAAACAAATCATCAGTTGAAGCAACCTCAAGGCCATGCTGAAAACAACCTTCTACATAAAACTGACAATCCCAAGTAGAAAAAACTCAAAAGAAAAGATACCTAACTTCATGGGACACCATGTTGAAGAAAACATCACAATAAATTTTGACTAAAAACAAAATTGTAATATAATTAACATATAATCTCAAGAGTGTGAATTCTCTGGATTTCATTTCGAATAAAGCTATCCTTCAAATTTTTATAGAATTTAAGCCTACTTTTATGCAAAATTTCCATCCTATGGCAAAGAAATGTTTATATGGCATTCCTTATTTACACAGATTCCCAATCAAACACTAAATCAAAGCTGAAACTGAAATTTACAGCTTTCATAGACAAACCAAACTAATAACGCACTTAAAACTTACAATCTGGAGTTTAATGGTTTTCCATCCTGCTCAACTGTGCGGATTTTCTGCAGAAGAGAACATAAGAATAATTTACAACTTTACAATCTATGTTAAGGTAATCAGCAACCCAAACCAAGGGAAATAAAAAAGATTGCTTACGAAGTCAACTCCAATAGTGCTAATGTAACTTTCCAGATATGAATCATCCTGATTACAGAAATAATAAAAATGGTTAATGAACTTGGCATCTGTCTGGAGCCCACATTTGTCTGGAGACCAGAACACATTGAAAAAACCCGAAACTTACGGGCTCCAGTATCTGCAATGTCGACGATTGTGAAGCAGGGATGGGTAGAATAAGGATCAAAAGCAAATCCAAATACCATATACCGTGTGGCAAAGGTTTCGTAATCGTAAGAGAATCGGACAGAGACTTTATCACTGGTAGTAGGATTATAAACCTCATAGTAAGGAACAGGCATTGAAGAGTAGAGGAGGAGTAGGCCATTGGAAAAGTTAATGACTAGCAGGGTGTTATCTGATGCTCCAATATGGCCCTCAAAACCGATTCGCAGGCGATTGCCTGTGGAAATCGAAATCGAACTCGAACTCTTATCATTGGGATTGGGATTGGGATTGGATGGGATCGCTCTGAAAACGAACTTTTTGTAGTTTGTCTGGTAGAAAAACCCTAAAACCGAGAGATTTCTAGCCTCATATCTATCCACGAACGGTGGTTCGGACAGATATCGTCGCCACCACTTGGAAATGGATTTGAATCGAGCCACCGACGGCGGTGGAAGCCTCAAAAATACCTCCTCGATCAACAACTTCTTGCGTTCCTCCTCAATCAACTCATGGCGTTTCAGGCGTTTCAGGCGTTCTTCCTCCATCATCATCATCATCACCACCACCACCACCACCGCCACCAATTTTGTTGCCCCAAAATTTTGTTCTTCTAATAAAAGGCAAATTGAGGGGAAATTTTATTTCAACGTACCAAGTTTTAGGCGTTTCCTTACCCCCCACATATTTAATGAATCATTTTAGCGTTACAATTTTATCCTTTAATAAAATTATCATCTCACCCATTATTATCTCACCCACATATTTCATAATTTTTCCATTCATATCTCACCCACCACCATCTCAAATACAGAGTTTGAATTTTTTTTTTTTTTTTTAAAATTTGTACTTTCTAAATGTATTTAGATTAAATAGATTTAAAATATTAACAAAATTGATAAAAGTATTAAAAAATTTATGAAAATGTCAAAAATACAAATTAAGGATTCAATCACAAAAAAAAAAAAAAAATGATATTTGGTCACCCAAAAAATAAAATTGAATCATGCTTGTATGCATACATAATTTATTAGTCAGATTTACTAAAAGGTGATACATTTTCAACATGTAACTGTCAATTCTTTTTTTTTTTCATTTTTCTTGATTGAATCCCATTTTTAGCAAACAAGAAAGGGTAAGAAAAAGAGACGATCAAAATCCAATTTTCAAATCTATTTCCTTCCTGAATATTAATTCTCCAAAATCTATAATCCATGGTTGCATCATGTTCTTTGCAAGATGAAAGAGATCATCAAGTTTAAATAGCACATAATGCAATTATCCAGAATAGCCTACAAAGAAAAACTTGTAGTAGTCATAAGAAAGAAGACAACTTCTATGTCAAGGCCAGAGAAATTACCCTCAGAAACAGTAAAAATAAAAGATTCCATTGCAATACTAGTCTTTTGCGCCTTAAGATCAATTTCTCCATACACATCTCCGGCGAACCTTGGCTCTCGCACTAGGCGTAAGTGACATGGTTGCTGTTTGTCTTCTTGACTCTAACTCTCAAATCCTAAGACACTATATCCAAATCCAAATATATATATATATATATATGTATCTATGAGACAAAATCAAATAATCAACGAGCTTAATCACACCTGAACCTTGTGTGAGAGTGGCTGAGAGGCTAGGAAGGGGCAGTGTTTGATGTCGTCGCTATCGTCGTCGCGAATAACTGGTGTAGTTAGGGTTAAGGTTTTTGGAGGGAGAAAGGATGGAATGAGAGGATGTGCACAGAGAATGTGAGGATATATTTGGAATGTGAAGTGTGTGGACTGAGACAAAGAAATAAAAATCAAATTACTACATGTGTGGATTGAGAAAAGATGTACACAAAGATAATTTGATATGTGGAAATAGAATTGCCCCAAATTGAGCCCCAAATTTCGAAAAGCTTGTTTGGCGAAATGACAACCCTAGGCTATGGTTTAACTCCTACAACAAATTTAACCTTAGTTTTTTTATAAAAAAAAAAAAACCAAAAAAACAAATTAAACCTTAATATTTGAATATTACATAGAAGGACGGTTCAAAATACCATTCAATCCCTTAACCACAAAAATGAGTTTGTTTATAATCTTTTAATTTTTTATTTTGTCTTTAAAAGATATTTTATTTCATTTTGTGTTTAAATTAATATTAAATTAGAGTATGATTTTTCAATCTTACCAACAGATTATATGAATATTAGATATACTGAAGAAGTAGAATTGAATAGTTTAAATAATAACACTTTTGTACAAATAGTAATAGAACAAAATAATAAATTAATTAAGTGATAAAAAGAATTTAGCAAAAAACTTAAAAACAATCAATTAGAAATTATAAACGAAATCTGACATATAATACTAAATATTAAGGCAAGCCCGAATCTATTGTAGAAGAAAAGTAAAAAAATACTGTAAATAATTATCCTTATTCTTATAAAGAAAATTCAATATATGAATTGGCACCCACTTTTCAAAGACAGAATAAAAATTTAAGATTTTTTTTGAAATAAAATTTTAACTAAATAGGATGTTTTACTAATTTATAATATTTATGGGCTTATAGTTTATTTTTATAATCCTTTTAGGGACTAAATAAGTTTTAATTAAATACTTTATGAACTTAATAGATTCAATCGATAGTTTAGGGACTAAATAGATTTTGATTTATATATTTTAGGGACCTAATAGACACAATTGATTGTTCAGGGATTAAGTAGACAATTTGATGATAGTTTAAGGGTACAAAGTATAATAAAAAAATAATAATAATTTAAACCTTAATATTTGAATATTACATAGAAGGACGGTGCAAAATACCATTCAATCCGTTAACCACAAAAGTTAGTTTGTTTATAATCTGTCTTCTAAATCATCTCACTATGTGATAGTTATACTTATATAAATATATATATACATATATATATATATATATTTTTTTTTTTTTACCTCTAATGAAATATCAAAGCAAATATTAGTGTGTCACAAATTTATATGTAAAATTTATTACAAATTAATATCATATATATATGTGTGTGTATATAATATTATTTAAAGTTATATATTATGCAAATGGTTAACAATTGTTTAATATTATTCTTTAATCAACTAACAAATTGTAACTGTCCAAACCACAATTTAGTTATTTGTCAATCTAGCCTTCACAATTTAGTTTATAATTTTAGTGTAATTCTACTTACACCATTAATTTATCTCCTTACACTCTTTTTCTCATTACACCTTTTAAAAAAATTAAATTTTTTTTTTATAATTTTTATCACTTTATACTTTTCATAATTTCAAACCAATCCTCATCCCTGCCAATTTTTTCTCCTTATGCCTTCAACTCATTCAAACACTAATCTTGTTAGAAATGGTTGGAAAAATCTGGGTAAAAATAGAATTTTTCACCAACTTTAGTCTAAGTTTTAGGTGGGACCATGCGTCGATTTTCGTGGGTCAAAGTGGTAACGCGTTCTATGCCGCCTTGTGATTCACATGGTATATTTAGTTGCTCAAAACCATTATCGAGTGAATGGGAAATTGAAGCCAAAGTGTGCTCTATGAAAATGGAGTTTTGGTGGAAAATCCTTAAAGGTTTGAATATAGGCTTGTCCCACATTGGTTTGGTGGGAAGAAATTTATGGGTAGGCCCCAAGAGGCAACCCAAGTTTGTAGAAGGAAGAGGTTATGGACTAATTGGGCTAGACCCATTGGACCCAAAAATAATCAAGCGCGCGGCTGCCACCATCCGTCTTGTCCGGCAGGCTGGGCTTGGGCGCGGATGCGTGGTGTGAGGTTGGGTTGGGCTTGTCCGCCCCAATACTAATCTTTTTGGGCCAAAAACATTTGGAATTAATTTTATTTTTGAAATAAAATCTGTCCAACTGTCCAGAATTCAAATTATTTCCAGAAATAATCTGGTCTGGTTTTACTGTACACCCAAACAGGGTTCCAAACAGGTCCCTACGGTTTTTATTTTTTGTATTCTGTTTGTCGTTTAGTACACAAACAGAGTTAATTTATTTAAATACAGTGAAGATTGTCCAACAAATCTTACAACCGCATTACCACCACCTTCCACTACCTTCAACCAGTCCTTCCTCACGTCCTGTCCATTTGTGATCCACCCAGCAGCACCCTATCCATTTGCCTTCGCAAACCCTTATTATTGCACAAACTACTGCTATTGCAAACTCCAACGACAGCCGACTCACTGCCATCCACTACAGTCAATCCACTACTGTCGCAGTTCCCTAAGATTGCTGATCCACCGCCATCGTAGCCCTCTACGACCGATGACCTATCGCCATCATAGTTCCTATGTATGCGAGCTGTCACCATCACGACCTTAGCCATCGTGATCGCCAGCTACCCACTTCGACATCACCATCACCACTGTCGCAATTCCTATCTTGTGACCCACTGTCATCACAACCCATCTCCATCGCTATCTGTGATTTTTACTTTTAGATATAGGGTTTTAAGAAAGTGAATGAAGAAGAATAAAGAGGAGAGGAAGAAAAACGAGATGAGAGATAACTAGGGCGTCACTGGAGAGAAGAAAGAATGTTGGGGTGGCGGCGGGCGATGGTGGATGGTGCTCTGGTGGAGATAAAGGAGGTAGGTAGAAGAAAAAATTAAAATTTCATCTTTTTAGATTTGAGGGATTTTTATATTTTTCATTAAGGATAAAAATGTAATAATAAAAAAAAGTAAAAAGTTAAGGGTGTAATAAGCTGATTTCGTAGTGTAAGAAGAATTTCTCATAATTTTATCTTCAAATCGCACTAATACCCACTTTCCAAAACTACCCTTTATACTCAACATATACATCATAATTGGGTAAATTACAAATACACTCCTGAAATTTTGTTTAAAATACGGATTGTCCTCTTTCATTTAGAAAATTACAAATATTCCCTTGTTAGGATTTTTTATTTAATAGAATTAACTGAAAAAATAAAATTATTAACTACTCTTCTACACAATAATAAAATTACTTGAGTTGTTAATTGAAATAAATTGTTGACATCATTACAAACTGTAAATTGACTTGATGATTTATTAGAAAAATGGTCTATTTGTTATGAAATTAAAAAAACTTTAAGGATAAGATATAATTTTTAGAATCACATGAGACCATTCATATTTTAAGCAAATTTCAGATAATATATTTTTAATTTACCCATCATAATTTGTGTGTCTTAACAAACGAATTGATAATTCTATTTACGTATAAATTTTCTAAATTTTTTAAATTATATTTTTATCCCTTAGAAATAGACAACCCCATCCCTAACCATATTTGCCACCACCCCGTCACTGTTGATTCTTATTTTCGTTGTTCGTCGCCAATGTCTATTCTAATTCTCATTTTTTATTAGGAAATGGATAAGGAACAGTTCATTGGAAAAGAGAGAAGAAAGAAAAAAAACCACCGAGGTAGTAACCAAATGAATAATGCACTTGTCATTTACATATAACATCAGGGTTCAAACTTTGGGGGTGCAAAACAATTTTAGTTGATTGTGCTATATTCTAATCGAGACTTTGCCTTTTGTTGTGGTAGGTGAGTGAGATTTATTGTGTGTTCCGGTGGTGGATTAAGTTAAATATGGTCGGTAACCGGTTACTCTAGGATCTGAGCCACAAATACTATAATATCTCC